TGCAAAATATGCGCCCGCAACATGTTGCTGTTAAAGCTGTTGCCGGCAGCATGACGCGAGCTTAAATGTTGCCAGTCGGCGCGCCGTTGATGTTGCCAGCGCTCAGTTGGACACAAAACGCCGGCGCGTGAAGTTTGCAAGAGCGGCAAATTGGGAAAAGGGAAGCGCGTGCGTGCGTTGCAATGCGGCATTTAAAAATAACGAAATAAAAATAACGAAATATCGAAAGAAAGAAAGAAAAAAAGCCTATGCATATAAATAACGTACAAAATGAGCAAGAAAATGTGGCACAAAATATTCAAATCGAAGGGGCAAAAACAGCAGCAGCAATTGAATAAAATCAATAAGCGCCACAGTCGCGGCATCTACGAGGAGTATCAGCAATTAAATGAGCTGCTCAATGGTGAAAAATCGCCAGTTTCGCGTTTTTGCAGTGAAAATGAAAACGAAAACGACAACAACAGCGGCAGCGGCAACATCAATGTGTTTGAGCAGCAGCCGCAGCAAAGTTCTTTCAACTCGGCGGCGCTTAGTGAGGCGCAACAGCAGCAGCAACCGTTGCCGCAGCAGCAGCAGCAATCGCAACATCTATCAACATTTTCGCGCGTACGCAACACATTCTCACTGAGACGCAACAACAACAACAACAACAACAGCAGCAGCAACAACAAGAAGCAAACACCCAATGCCAAGTCAAGTGAGTCGGTCACGCCCATGCCCACGCCCACGCCTACGCCCACAGCTGTGGGAGCTGCACAGCTGCAGCATGTTTTGATTATAGTCAATCAGATCGATGTCGCAGCAGCAGCAACAACAGTTGCAACAGCAGCAACAACTACAACAACAACAACTAATACTGCTACTAACTCCGCTAATCATTTGCATGCCAAGCCAACAACAACAACAACAGCAACAACTCATTCAAGTAAATTATTAACAATTGATAAACTATTGCTTGCAGCTGCCGATTGGCTAAACCGTTTTAATTTATATTTAAATGATTTTCAATGATGATTTACAGCTGTCAATTTGCTGGCGTGAAAGTAGCACAGAGGGGCAACAGGGGGGCTAGCTGTGGAAGAGTTGAACTAATTACTTCAATAGTTTATTTTTGTCTATAATCGATATAACAACACAAATAATAACAGAATATTATTAAGAGAAATTTTTCGATAAGATTAAGATGCCAGATATTTCATCTGAATATAGGTACATAGATATCAACTGTATAATGACTACAAAGGGACTTGACTGTTCAGATGCTAACTACACGTAGAGCGTAACAGTATATCTACATCTTACTTATCACCTAGATAGATAATCTACCTGCATAAGATATCCACATGATCAGATATATTATACATGATTTATCACCAACCACCTGAGCAAATATTTATGCATACAATATATCTAACCAAGTATCTGTGCACACACTCTGCTCACCTATATATCCAGGCATTCTTCTACTTATTTGCCTATTCATACACCTTATAAATCTATCTACATATATTTTAAAACTATTTGGTCTTCTACTTAACATCCTTTTGTTTATCCATCAAGCTAGCTACATGAGATAGCTAGGCATCAAGAATTCTATCTTTATAAAGCATGTCTCAAAGTTTCATCTACTTATTTTATTGTTTACTTGAAAATTGATATGATCATTTAATCATCTATATACTAACGCTGCTGCTTATCTAACTATCTGAACTAAATGCATATATATCTAAGCTTCTACAAACCATTCCATTGAAAATATCTAAAAATCATCTATCTATCTATCTACCTATATCTGCTCTTAACGCTGAAGTATTTCACAAATGATTTTAATTTGTTTAATCTCTTTTGGGATTCTGTGCCATATTGTTTATAAATAATTTGTTGTAGACCTTTCGATGACTTTTTCTACATGCTTATCAGCAAACAATACAATAAATGATGTCACTTGGCCATCAATAGGAAAACATTTATTTAAAAAGAAAGCTAACTAAAATAAACTAGACCACATGTAGACAAACTTTAAACAAACTATAACCAGTATTACACATAGAAGCATGCTATAAGCATATGTGTTTGTTACCATTTGGTTCCTAACTCGACTGTCCAGTTAATATTCTCGTCCCACACACTTTTCATCCATTAAGCTGTCACAAGTTGAAAGTTCGGGGCACCAGGAAATATCTCGCATAACAAAGTCGTTGGCTCAGGCCCATACTCAACATATAATGGCATAGACTATATAGCTTTTCCACATGAAAGTGTTTCACATGTTGCATAAATGGATCTGTTGAAGAATTAAATGGCTTATAAGGTTACCTAATGCACAGCAGCAACAACTGCAATACACACGGCACACGGACGGCCAAGATCCCAGCCAGATTTGGTTGGGCACCTCTTTAAGATCTTTCTTATGAAATCGCATCAGATTTTATTCGTGACAGATAAAATACCGTATACCATATGCTATACTATGCGAAATCAACATAAAAAAATAATAATAATAATAAATAATATATATAAATATTCTTTTTTTTTACTTGTTCTAAAATATCATTGCCCTAAGTTATAGCACAGAATCTTTGAATTTATTTACTTTAAAAGCGATTTAATCATGTGATCAGTCTGGATTTTATATACACCATAATATTCAAATAAGATTATCTATTCTCAAATCTTTATGCATCCATAAGCAAAACTCTCGCTTCTCTTAAGATCCATGAAATAGTGCTTATACCATTAGGGTTTGTTCCAGTAAACTCTCGAACTCTTGAACTTTAAGCACTTAGACCGATTATTACTATCTGCACAAATCAAAAATCTGCTTAGACTCCATGAAGACAGGGCGCCCTGCTGTTTAGGCAATTGCTCCTTTGGCTGGCCAGTCGGCGCACTTTTTATTTATAAAACTCAAGTGGAAATAGTTGAAAGATATGCATATATAATCTTATAATGGCCACAGTAGCTCTGCATCTGTATCTGTATTTTGCAACTGCGAGCTCGCCAAGCATCATTAACATATGTGAATTGTGGTGCTGGGGCAGTTGCTGGCGCAGTCGAAGCCGAGGCTGTTATGTGCAACGGACGCCCCATCACCTACGAGTGTGGAGCAGCAGCAGCATATCATCCATTGAGGCAGTCACTCACCCACTTCTCATCGGATTACACATTAAAAAAGACTGCGTACAAGCTAGCATTGATTTGAATTGAAATGAATGCGAACGAGACGAGCTTGAAGCCAACTCTCAACATGTTGCAGAAATTTATGCGTGCCGCTGATTTATGTAATCTTATTTATAATTGGATTGTCTTTGAATTATTGTTAAATTGGCAGCGTGGATCGTATGTCATAATTTCCACCGAACGGCACACAAGTTGATACCTATTAAAATTCTTAATCGCACACGCAATGTTTATTTAGACTTTTAAGGTTCAGTGCCAGCTGGACTACAAATATTTAGCTTTAATATGATATTGCTGTACAGAAAAGGTCTAAGATTCCCGGGATTCCCCCTATTGGCCTGGCCAAAACGCGTTTCTTTGAAATTGATGTGTTTCACTAGAAAATACAGAAAAGTTTTATTATTATTTAATTTTTAATTTTATTAATATTTTAAGTAGTATATGTCGTTAGGAATTGGGAAAAGGAAAGGTAATTTTGAAAAGGCAGATTAAAAGAACGCAGAATGTGCAGCATTGAAGGAAATCTAAAGTTTGAATAGCTTAATTAAATAACATGCTTGTATGTGAGAACTAAAGAACTACTCGAAAACCAGCCTTCAGTTCAGTTCTATCTAATAAGATTCTCACATGTTTGGGTTCAACTTCAATCCAGTAGAAGTCAAGTGAGCCGCTTAACCGTGGGCAGTTGTGCTGAAGCACCTGTCATGTGCATAGTTTGTATCTTGAAGATACAATTATAAAAGCAGTCGCCCACAAAGCAAGCCGAATCAACCATATCGCAACAGTTTTGGTACATACGAGCTGCCAAATTTGGTTATTACAACATTTCATGAGGCAGTTGTCGCTCGCAGATAAATAACAATTTATAGGCCGATCACACAGGCTCAGGCAGCCAAAAGCAGACACAATCCAAATAATAATAATAAATTATTTGTGGATTGCTTTATCTTTTTTGTCTATTGTCTTACCCGCCTGAGAATTTATAGGGCTGCTTTTTGGGCGTTTTCTGTGCTTGTTATTGCTGACGTGACAAACGGCGCCGGAAAAGCAATTTGTCCACAAAAAAACAAACGACTGCAACATCATGAAAATGCTGGCATGTGATATGAAAATACTTTCCATGTGTTGCATGCAACGAGTGCGACTGGAAAGTTTTAGGGTTTCTGGCCCAAGTCTAAGACGTGCCACTTGGCCAAAGGCCAACAGTCTGCAGACGGATTTGGCCTTTTACTTGGCACTTCCTTTTGCCAACATTTTTTCCAGCTGATAAAGTTTCTTATTTGTCACTTTCTTTGCGCACCTTTAAGTTCTTGCTGTGTTTACTTGGACTCTCTAATTGGTCTAGAAAATATAGATAGGTAATTCGAATGAATTTCCTACTACTCGTCCAAAGCTTGAGCTTGTTGCAAAAGTCGACAATGCGCGTGATGTGCCCTGTTTTGTTCACCCATCAGTAAATAATCTACAAAAAAATTAAATCGAAAAGCTAATATTTAATATTAGCTTGTGACGCCGTCTGCATCCGAAAGAAAGATTAATCGGGAAATATTTGAAGACCATAGATAAATGAAACTTACAACTTCCAATAGCTGTTAGCCCAAGTTAAATAAGAAAGCGTAATCTGATCATCATAGAAGGCTGGCTCAGTTGGAGTTTTGATTTTGTTACTTTTGCTTAGAATTGTAAAATTTAGTTTTAGGTTTCAAGCTATACAGAATCTACCAGACATTGCAAAAGTTTCCCAGCCAACTGAAGCCTCACAATCCAATAATAATCAAAATCCATTTTTTTATTTTCATAATTTTGTCGGGAAACAACAGCTACGATGGAATCTGACGGTGCGGATGATGATAAAGAGCCAGTTGGCCCACCGCCGGGTCCACTCACCACGGGCATGTCTGAGACTATTTTGGAGCAGGGAACTATTAGCACTGATCTAACACCCTGTCCGAACTGCAGTCGCACCTTCAATCTGAATGCACTCCGCAAGCATGTTGTCGTTTGCGAGAAGATGACTTCTAAAAAGCGTAAGATATTCGATTCATCACGTCAGCGTCGCGAGGGCACCTCTCTGTCCACCTATGTGCTGCCCAAGAATTTTGGCCTGCCCAATGCAGAAAAGGCTCCGGGTGTGCATACGCCACCGGCAGCTAGTCGCGAGGCTTCCACAATGTCCAGCGGCTCGCAGCCACAAGAGGCGAGTAATGCTCCTGTAAGACTGCACTATTTTTTCTAACGGTGAACTTCTTCTTGACAGGCTTCACCATTGCCGACACGCCGTAAAGGCAAAGCGGATACGGCACGCGCCTCCCTGCGCAAAGGTGCTGGGGCCACTGCAGCTGCTGCTGAGCACCCTGCAGCAGCGGCACCAGCTGCCCCAGCTGCAGCCGCTCCACCACGTTCCATAACTAAGCGCCTTAAGGACTCCGCCTCGGACCGTTGTCCGCATTGTGAGCGCAGCTTCAATCCCAAGGCCTACGATCGCCACGTTGAGTGGTGCAAGGAGAAGGCGATTCAGGCAAACATCAAGTCCAACAGCACTACAGAGACAAATAAGGCCAAGGAGCGCATGGAGGCGCGCAAGCAGTACCGCCCACCTAATCTCAAGTAAGAATTTAGCATGCCCCCCTTATCCCCAGCTGTCAGATTTGTCACAATTCAATTATTTCTTCTGCATTCTTTTAATGTATATTTTGTTTTTCTTTTAATTTTCTTTTGTTTGTTTCAGAACCAAACGCTCGATCAATCGCGACAAGTACTCCGGTGCACAGGAAGAACAATACGAGACTGAAATGGTATCCCCAAAGCAAAACCTAATGTCGCTCTCCTCCATGACAACGTCCGTGCAGAGTGTTAAGTGAGTATAGCAAATGTGTCCATTTGATTTGTAGACTAACTAGCCTAACACACGATTGGCCCATCTGGCGTTACGCTAATGGTTGTCGTTGAAGTTGACTAATCCCGCAGTAATGTTTGCCCAGTAGACACCGTCGCGTAGTGTACCGCTCACTCACAATGTATTCGTAGCAAATGATCTTCGTATATTAGCCACTGACCTAAAGCCCAACCCCCCCCCCCCCAAAAACCAACTTAGCTCGCAGCGAGGTGCGCCACAAGCCATGAAGGTGCAGCGCCCTGGAACCCCTCAAGGACAGTGCTCACCACGCAAATCCAAGGCAAACTCTAGTTCAACAACAATGGTTGCCCCGAATAAAGTTAGTGTGCGTATGGCCAACGAGGAGTCAAACCTGGGCCAGAAGGAGCGTGCATATGTGAATCCCAGACGCAAACAGCACGAAACCTGCCAAGAAATCGATGTCGCCGTGCAGCGTTTGCGGCGAACCGCTACCTCGGAAACTTTACACCTGGCCAAATTGGAGTGCGCAGAGGCTGCACCCCTGCAGCCTGCCAGATCGCGTAAAACTATGTCCCATCGCCATAAGGCCGAAGTGCCCGAATGCATGGCCGGTCCACCCCAAGTCACAATGACCTTTGAGGAGCTTAATGGGTTGATCAAGCGCAAAGGTATGGTCGATGTAAATCGCAGGCCATGTAATAGATCAGCTTAGTAGCTGAAGTAGCTAAAGAATAGTTCTTTTCCAGAAACTAATCAGCATTATTGCAATGCTCTACTTGCCACTTTATTCCTGAGATTAGTTCCATAGGGTTCCGCATCTCGAGAGCGTGCTTGGACTTCATTAACTTCAAATGATTTCATAATTAGTTTCCAAAGCTGCGGAAAAATTTGATGGTTCGTAATTAATGCGCAGCGCATTTAAGCATTTGAGAGATCAGCCAAGCATAAAGCTCCATTAGTTGCAGTCCATAGATTGAAAGGGTTCCAGACTAGAGCTAGATGGAGTATCTTGGATTTGTACTTTAAAAATCGTAAGAAATTCTTCCAGGAATATTAAAACCAGTATTTTTTTGAATTAATATGAAATTAGGCATAGGATGGAATAAATTAATAGGGACTAGCTAGAGATTTTGTGGAAAGGGAATTTCATTTGATTTATAATCTAATTATAACCCAACGAAATCAACTTTCGATCCGCACGCTGCAACGCCCGCAGGTGGCACTAACATTTGCAACATAAAAATGGATATTGAGGAGCAGGATTTGAAGGTATCGCCCAAGATACAGTCTTCCACTTCGTTGGTGCGTCAAGCACGTCGCCGAATTCGCACACGTGAGAATCCCAACATTGACATACGCTCCCTGGAACCACCAAAGTCCTCAAGCGAATTTGACCTATCCTCCAAGGAGATGGTTTTGGCCAATGTACAGCAGGGCCATCGCGCAGTGCCAGGCGCGGCATCATTCCGTCACATAGCATCCCATGATTTGTACTCGGGTTCGGAGGACGAAGGAACTTCACCGCGTGGCGAGATCCAAATCAAGCTGGAGACGAGCACCATTCAAACTGTATGCCGCCCCAAGAAACGCACCCATCTTCCGGCGATCATGAACAGCTCGCAGCCAATGCGCGCAGTGCCCATGGCAGAGCTCAAGCAAAATCTGGAGGCGTTGGGCCAAAACTTTCTGCCACACCTTGAACGAAGCAACGTCTCAAAGGAGCACTATAAAGAGGAACAGGACGACGATTTAGAGGATTTAGAACTGGATGAGCTAGACTACGATGAAGCTGACATGGAAGTGGAACGGCTACTAAGCAAGGCAAAGCTACTAGAAAGTGAATACGATGACGAATTGGACGACGGCGCTTCTAGCGAGGAGGAGGAGCAGCAGCAGCAGCAGCAACAGCAACAGCTCAAGTCATCGATGCGCAAAACACCAACCAATGTTAGCCGACGTCTGGTGCTGCTGGAGCAGGATGAAGAGGGCACCATGTATATAAAGGCACCGCCATCGCCAACCAAGCGACAAGCACGTTCGCCACCCAGCTCAGATCGCACACTCGTCAAGAGGTTTGTTATAGTATATACTTTCAGACGACAACCAGGCGACGCACAGAGGGGCGGCGGGGCTTAACATAATCTCTAGTGTCAAAACTCAAATGTTTTCTCTGCTCTCTAATATGCTTTTGTTTGTTTCATGCACACACAGCGGCCCCAGCCCACAGGCTAACGACAAGTACGATCCGTTTCTGTCCGCCAAACGTCAGCTGGAGGAGCTCTGCTCACCCAACACACCACCCGACAACGAACCACTGGTGAACACAACAGCCACACCGATCATGTCCACCTCGCTGACGAGCACACTGGGCAAACTACACACGACCACACCCACCGCTACAAGCACGGCGCCAAAGGCGACGCCCATATCGAACTTTCGACGCACTTCATCGCTGCGTGGGCCACGTCGCACACCACTGCTGCCCAGTCGACCGCTCTTTGCCAGCAACTATCGGCCCACCATACAGCGCGGTCTCTCCGACGAGGGTCCCATCTCCAGCAACTTCCTCAAGCCGGAGGAGTATGACGAGATGCCAGTGCGTGCCGCTTGTGGCAATGATTTTCATAGTCCGAGGGTCGTGCGTCGCGACACGAGCGCCTCCAATCGCAAGCAGCAAATGAAACTGCCGCTGGGTGGCGGCAGCGAGACGGACAGCTCGAACACGTCCAAGCAACCGACGACACGCAACGTGGCCAAGACCGACTCGCTGGCCGTATTCCTCAAGTACGAGCACGAGCTGGAGCAGCTGAATGCGAAGGCTGCCGAGGTGGCAGCCAGCAACAAAGAGCTCAACAGCAAGGAGCTGAAGGACAAGAGCAACAACCTGAGCAAGCAGAACTCGGCCAAGAATCTAACGGCAAACCCAAATGGTGGTCAGCTACCACCGCTGACGACGCCCATCTGCCCGCCAGTTGCCAAGGAGAACAACGAGAATGTGGCACACAATTTTGCAACGCCACTGCGCCTAGAACCCCTCAGCAAGCCACCCCAAAACTTGGTCTCGCCAAACCACAACAACAACAACAATAACAACAGTGGCAATACTGCACCATTACCCATCAAGCTGGAGAGTATCTTTGGCAGCAATCGATTGGGCGATTACATAGACCCCAAGCTGATCAATCCCTGCGATAATCTCAATGTGCAGCAATCATCGGCGGGCTCCTCTGATGCCAGCTCCACGCCACAGCAGCTGTCACAGAGCCGCAGCAGCTCTCAGTCAACCATAACAATGGCCCAGGAACAGCGGCGTCATTCCGGCGAGGCACGTAATCTGCTCAAGCGCAAGATGCGTCTCGGGCGCAATCAATTTCTATACGATGCCTCGCCAGAGGAGCAGTACATCTCGTCGGGCAGCTGTGCCGATGATGAGGCCAATCGCTGTTCGCTGGAGTTCGACGAGCAGTGCTGGCAGCAGCAGCAGAAGCAACTGCTGGCCACCAATCCATTGAATTTACCCAATATGCCAGTGCTGCCTACGTTTGATGACTTTGATTTCGAGGAATTTCTCTCATCATTCGAGAACGAGAATGATGAGGAGCAATTTCCGCTGTTTCGGGATTGCCGCGAGTTTCTGCTGAATCGCACGACGAGCCGGCAACGCTCGTTCCAGAAAGCGACTTCAACACCACAAACACAAACACAATCCCAGACCCAGAACCAGAACCAACCACAGACTCCAACAGCCACACAAAGACCAGCCACAACAGGCAATAGCTCCCAATTTATAACACCGCCTAAAGCCCATTTTTATGCGCCCTCCACTAAAGAGACTCATGCCCACAGATCCGATTCAAATGTGTCCAGTAGCGGAGGATCATACAAATCGCCACAGGCCAGCTGTGGCTCCTACAAGACAACACCAAATAGCAGTGGATCCTACAAAACACCACCGAATAGCAATAGCTCATACAAGACGCCGTTGACCAGCAGTGATGAGAAACTGCAGCGCCAGCAGTCGAATGCCTCCACCAGCAGCAGCACCAACAATTGCCATGTGGAGAAGGCCCAGAAGTCGATGGAGTCGGAGTCGCAGAAGCGTGAAATCTTTATAAGCATTGAAACCGAACCGAATGCACAGGGGCGTTCGCCCATCTCGCCGGATTCGCTGCGCCATATGGTGGGCAATGCTCAGACACCCATCGATGTGCTCCACATTGAGAACGGTAACGAGCCGGAGCATGCCAAGTTCAGCAAGATTAGCGATAACGAGGACCAGATCGATGCTGAGCTCGCTGATGAGACTGGCCACGTTCGTTATAAGAAAAGGCTGAGCTCAACGGCGAGCGCAGCAGCGATCTCGCCAGCGCCCAATGTGGAGGCCAACAATGCCAAGAATGTGATAGAGAAAATGCGCAACGATTTCAAGCAACTGGGCGAGGAGGTGGGCGCCTCAGTGCGTCGTGATATCATGCAGCGTCAGGAACATGCCCAACAGAAGCACCAAATGCAAGCACAACAGGATCTAAAGGTAATGACACCATCGCCATCAGGTGATTCGGATGAGCTGAGTAGCCTGGATGGATATCCCATGTCCTCATCGCAGTCATCACGTCGCGGCGCCAGTTCCAAGCTCAGCAACGACTCTGCTTACGGCAGGTAAGTCAAAAACTATCGATTAATCGATACCTGCGACGAGCATAAGCGATATTTTTCAAAATAATACCACTAACCAAACAACATATGCAGATAATACCAGCCTCAGTTACCTAATAGAATTGCCAACAATGGCTAGACAGCCGAATCGAAACAGCCAAAAATGGCATTTTTAATTGGGCTTTTGATAGGTTCATCTTGTCGTCCTTTGTCCGTGCTAACTTTTTCTGATTATAGACTAGCTTCCGAATGCATAGTTCCAACTAGTATTTTTTTTAAATATAGCTAAATAATAGTATATCGATTAATGATGGCATCGACCTATCGATATATGAAATGTATGTAGCTTGTAGGTGCGATACCCAATCTTACGATATGCGATATTTTTTAAATCACAATTTTAACGTTTTATTTTGACAAACATGTTTTTATTTTCAATCATGTAGCAGCAACTCACCATATAGTCTGTCCCGTCAACGCTCCAGCGAGCTGCAGTCCAACAACAACACGCCGCGCACCCAGAGCCAATTGCGCCCGCACACGGCCAGTGGAGCCTTGTCCATGTCCGGCAAACAGTCCATGATGGATGCCTCCACTCAAGCAGCAAGCAACTATGGCACACTCAAGGCTCGCCAGCGCATGTTTGCAGGCAATGGCCTGGGCGGCGACACTGGCGATGGCAATGTTGAATATTCCAGCAGCAGCTCGGAGCACTCGCTGCCCGTGGCAGTGGCCCAGCAGCCGCAACAGCAGCAGCAGCAGCAAAACACAAACTACAGCTACCAGCAGCAGCAACAGCAGCAGCAATCTCAAGCGCAGGTAGCTTACAATACCAACAACAACAACAACAACAACAACAACAATAGCTATGAGCTTAACGCAAAGAATTTAAACAACAACAACAATAATGGTGTGGGTGTTAACTTAACGCCTACGACATCGCAGCTTTCGCTGCATAGCAACACCTCAAACGTTTCCTCGGGCATGAGCTCGAGCATGAAAATGTCCAAGTTCTGTCACGAATGTGGCGCCAAGTTCGTCATAGAGCACGCTAAATTTTGCATGGATTGCGGCGTTCGACGCGTTGTGCTCTAAGCTCAAGGAACTATTATTTGTAGTTGTAGTCGCACACACACACACACACTCACAGCAATGAGCTGCGGCGGTGGAACTAACCTGTTGGCTGGCTTGGCAGAAACGGGTTGTGAGAAAGGAGGTTCTTATACCAAATGTAGTTATTACATGCAAACAATTTTTGAGAGATCGTTGATATATGTATACCCTAAATGCAATATGCTACTTAAATATATTTTAATAATAAAAATAATCAAAAAACGTAAAGGTTTGAAGTCGAACAAATACATATGCAATATAATACTTATTAATCATAAATAACAAGAAACTTGGCATTTTATTTTTCCAATATTTCTTAATTGTAATTACGAATGTAGTTTTCTTTTCTTTTATTAAAGTATAACATTAAGCACTTAACCAAGTTGTTAATTAACAAAGACTGAACGAATTTAAACGAAAAGCGTTGAAAGCCACTCGAAAACAAAATTAAACGAAACTATTCAAATAAAAATCAAACATTTTTCGCAATCTTAAACAAACACTATAATTATATTTGTATTTTGTAAACTGTTTACTAATTTAATATAGTCACTGCTTAAATATAATCTAGATACACCATATTTAACTCGACTTTATAAAACTTAAAATAAACGGATTTGCTTCACATATTTCATTTCATTTCAATTGGTTTAAATTTATTTTGAAGCTGTTCTCTAAGAGTTTTAGTTTTTTCCAAATGCGTTTGGTATTTGATAAAAATAAGTTTTAAAATTCGGAGAAACTAATTCTTGGCGTTCACTAAACCTAGACATTCATGAAAGTCATCTCGATTTACTTAAAGCTATTACATGTTTTTGAATTTTCCAATAAATCAATTCTTTCTTTTACTTCACAGCCGTGTGAATACTTCCGACAGACATTTTAAATGTAATATAAAATAGTGCTCCTGAGAATGCTTTAAAATGATATAGCACATACATGTTTCTGGATGAAATTAATATATACTTATAATTATTTTTCTGTGCACACATGATTAAAAAAAATACGAAAAAGTATTTGAATATAGAACTGTTTCAACTAAGCTGACCCAGCAACTTTAATCTTGACTTAAATGAATACATACTGGAAAAAATATGAAATGAATATAAAACAAAAGCAAATTGACAACAAATATTCAAATGTTATGATGAACACGAAGGAAACAACTCTTGAAACTTGCAAACTGAAGATTAAGCTTATTAGGAAATGGGAATAAACTTGAATTGGAAATTAAGACACCTTACAGGCCCCTCTGAAGCGGTTTCTAATGAGAGAGCAGTCAAATTGCAACACTAATGATATAAACGGTTGTGCTTAACTTACTGCAGCTGCAGCAGTTTTTGCTTGGTAGTTTCTAATGCGCAGGCGGCGCACGCCTTTAAGAAATTGGTGCGAATGACAATCTTTTCGGGGCTGCCTAGGGATAGCTTAGCCATGTGCGAGTCCAGCGCTTCATTCGGTGGTGGTGTGCATTGACAGTTGGCGGAGCTAGAAGAATCACACGAGCTGCTGCTATCGGAAAGCGATTCCGTGGTTTCCGAGTTGCTGCCGCTACTGCTGTCATCTGTAGAAAACACTTTTTTTTAGCAGTTACTTATGTATTTTGGGATTTCATATTGTTACCCATAAACTTACCCGTTATAACTGCGGCCTGCTGTGGGCACTTGGAGAATGCTACGGGAATGTCTTGCGGCATCTTGGCATACCAAACCTTCATTTCGTTATCCAACTCATCTTCATTACCCTCGACCTCTTCTTCAACAAAATCATTTAGGAACTCTGGGCGCTGCAGTCCGTCCTTTTTCTTAAACAAATAGTTGCCATGCAACTTGCACTGGTTGATGATGTACCTCATGTCGGGATGATAGCGTAGCGTCACCGGATTGCCAATGAGTATCATCAAGGACTTGGCACGCGAAATAAGCACATTCAATCGACGCGGATTACGCATGAAGCCTATGCTTGCAAAGGAGCGCACAAGCGTGGCAATTATCACATTTTTCTCCCGACCCTGATAGTTCTCCACACTGCCCACCTCCACATTGTAGTGACCCTGACGGCGCAGCAGCTGATTGATAAAATTACACTGCGCCGCGTACGGTGCCACGACGCCAATGTCCTTCTGCTGCACGCGAATACCACCGCCAAGGCCGTTAGAGAGCAAATGCTTCACATACCAGCAAAGCACCTGTGCCTCTAGCATATTATATGAGCTGGTGGAGTGGTCATCGCGCGTTGTCACGCCATGCGTGGCTTGAAATATAATCGGAAACTCGGTATTGGGCAGCATACGCCAGTTGGCTGCTAGATTGACCTGTTCCGGCGGCGCCTGTGGTATGAGTTCATCATTATAATACAGTTTGTTATACAGCCCAACGATTTCCGGATGGGATCTATAGTTACGACGCAGTCGCGTCTGCAATGTGTGATCATAATTCCCATTGGCGTCCACGGCGTATAGTTCGCAGCGCAGCAGACGCTCCATTAGCGAGTGTCTTAGGCCCAAAAGCGCTGCGCGATTGTTCTTAATGACTGCGCCGAGCTGTTTGTGATCGCCCGAGAGTATCACATGGCAAGCGTCCTGATGCTTAATTCCCATTATACCAATAAGCGACTCGGGTTCCGTGGAGGCGCCCGCTTCATCAATGAAAATGTGTGTGAAAAAGTTAAATTTGCCCAAATTTAAGGTCACTAGACGGCCCACTGTGCACAGTGTGGCCACTATTATGCCATGCTTGCGTAATCTGTTCACATTAGAATGCTCATACACACGTTTTCTACAATTAGAATGTTTTAGGAGCAGAGGGTCCACCGAATTTAATCCTTTGGCATACACAGATCGAGAGAAGAGACGCATTAGCTGATGATCTAGCTCCACGTCCTCCGTAACCAAACGTGACTCTTTGGCCCGCTCTACCAAAACCGCCTGCAAACGTTCATTGCTAGCAAAATACTCGCATATTCTCAAGGCAATCGTGTCGCATGCCGAGTTCGAACCGGCAGTTACAAGAATGCGACTTCTCGGCTGTCGAAGTCGCAACTGTAGAATGGCCTCGACAATAGTTGTGGTCTTGCCTGTGCCTGTAAACGAGATTTAAGAAATATTTTTATATTGTTGATCCTCCAAATCTAAGGACTTTTTAATCTCACCAGGTGGTCCGAACACTATGTAGGGCGCTAGGCTGCTGGGGCCATTAACGATATGTTGAACTGCCTGCAGTTGCTCCATGTTAGACGCAATGCTCTGGTTAAATAGCGTCACATTTGGTAATTTAATCACTTTGGGTGTCACTGTTTGCAGCCCCTGGATGGGAAACAAATAGCGACGCAGCTGTGGATTCTCCTGAAGCAGCTGCATCGCACGATACATGAAGCGAAAGGGCGTACGGCGCGAGCGCAAGATCACATGGTACCGCTGTGCAAGCGCAGATTCTCCGGCTGGAAAGCCGCCCCGTTTGAATTTCAGATGGATGCTGGTGCGCGTCACCTGCTCTAAGCTTGCAACGTAACGGCGCCTTGGATCCTTTCTTGGCAGAGTCTCGTGTGTGTGCGGTAGCAGCGCTAGGATGGGCTGTTTAGGCAGAGGTGCTGCATCTAAGCTAGCCTTCGGTATAAGCACAGCCTCGTCCAAATAGGGCGCAAGAACTTCCTCTGGATTGATTTGCGTCTTGCCCAGCACAAAGCTAAAGCAATGTTTTTGAACTTTCTTTAGCAGAACATTAGGCTGCATAAGCTGGGCGTACAGTTGCATTGTCGACACATCCTCTATGCTGAGCAGTATGCTCAGCACTGAGCAGACATTCTCTGAGTCCAGGAGCTGCGTCTGCAGGTATGTACCGAAAGTAGTGTCATGTTTTGCCAAGCTTTCGTTGGTAAATTCTACGTCCAAAGCCTGTAACAAGGTCTGGCTAGGCTCATAGTGTGGCAGAGTACGCATAACAGCAATAAATCTACAAGACAAACAGCGCATTTTATATTTGCAATTTTTTTTTTTTACTAATTTGTACCCACTTTTTCTTCTGCATTTCCTCTTCATCATCAGATGTCGGCGAATCTTCTTCGTCGTCGCTAAACTTCTTGCGCACGCGGACATTGGCTTTGACTTGGTGGATCGCCTTTCCACAAGTCCGCAAGTCCATCTGAAAAAGATACGCACGAATGCAAATGTGAAGGAGTTGTAAGTTTGTTCTCTTTGTACTTAAATTACCGAGTTCGATTCACGTGTTAGTTCGTTCGCGTTCATTTTGCATCTAACAAACTACATATAGAATCACACGGACAATACATAAGGAGAGACTGGGTAAACTTCACGCGAAATATACAAATAGTCGAATTCAAGTGAAGATGCTGCAAGTACCGTTACAGGCGTCATCTGGCTTCGGATGGCATTGATCGCAGACAACTTCAAGTGCTGCAGCAATTGATATTCCTTTGCAGCACTATGCTTAAACGATAAAAGTCATTCAATCTCGATTCATACAAACACAAACTTTATGTAAACAACAATTATGAAAAATTAAATCTGCACTTAGTTTATTAAATTGTCAACTTTTGAATTCACGTTAGCTCTAAAATCCGACAAGCCCAAATTTGCCAGCGCGCCTTGAATCACGTGAAGTTGGCTGCGAATTTGCCTATACGTTATATAACACTGTTTGGACTGTGTTGCTATGCGATAATCCTATCGTTATCGATATTGTTTGTTATTTACATTTGCTGTTTGCAATATTTTGTTATGATTTTGGAAAAACTTTCGTTTGACCAGCGTATGCAAACGCAAAATCTTGTGCATATGCTGCAAAATAGAGAATCGGGCTTTGCTCGAAATAAATTCAGTCAAACGCCTCAACTATCATATGAGCGCCAATTCTACAAAGCAATCACCCCTTGCCTGACGGTTGGAATCTTAATACCACCTGTTTACCTGCGCAAATTCACGCCGGACGGCAGCAAGCTATTGGCTTTCTCCCACGACCAGCGTTCATTTATTGGTAACTTATGAATACGTTTGACAATAGACATTAATATAGTTCATATTTGAATCCAGTGTACTCATACAAGGGCTTAGGCACATCTGGCGTTAGCCAGCTATTAAGCGAGGCTGGCGTAGGCAGCGCCGAGACGTACATTGATAGAATATATGGCAACCATCTGAGAAATACAATATTTGAGCAGCTCTTTAAGCCCAAATACGTGTTGCGTCTTTGCCAAGGCGACTCGGCACGTTTCTATCTGCACCGGGAGTTCAGCGTCTTCCTAGAGGATAGTCGCTATGTGCTGCTTGCCGGAATGTGCATACTACAGGGGTGCAACCTGGCTGTCTCTGACTACGAACGATATCCGGATGTTTTTGATAAGGTCGATCCCTTCTCGTACATATTCTACGTTGTGGACTTGCAACAAGGCGTTGTTACTGATGAAGTGCGCCTCCCTCAGGATGCCATCTCCTTGTCACACAATCACGGCATCTCAGTGCATGGCCACACCATAGCAATATTGTCACGGCTGCGCCAAAGTATTTATATATATGAGCTGGTCAACGGTCGGCTGATAAAACAGGAGCACGAAATCGGTCCACGACCACTCCACTGTGCATTCCAGGACGTTTCATCCATGTTTATGGTCATGTTGGATGTGAACACCTTGTTGCCCATTACGCACATTAAACAACGAGTGTTGAGTTTTCTGTACCGCCAGATACAGCCGGATAGCCCACAAGCGAGCCAAAAATATCAGGATTTCTACAAGAATTTTGATTTTGTAAGTGTCCGAGCCTTGCTTCGATTCGCACTTGTACCATTTAAAAGTCCCCACTTTTTAATACTTACAGATAGAGAACATGATAATTGAAAAAATGCAGCTAATCGACAGCGATTTCCTATTATTGCGCTACGAGGAACGGCCAAAGGACAGCGATGTGACACCCATTTTGGTGACGGGCGAGCCTCAGCCACCGCGACGACTCTATGTCTTCTATGCCATGAGCAGCGAGGATGTGCTTGGCGTCTACCATGACGATTCTGTGGACCTTCTGCAAATAGTGGTGCAATTTTATGATAAATTATGCAATGTGCGCTCGCTACAAACGGGCGATGCGCCTTCCTCGCCCTCCTCGCACTATTTTATGCAACAGAATTGCATAAATCCCAACAAGTCGGCGCCGTTTATGCGTCAAGCAGCGCTGCGCTACAATCCCAGCGTGCCGGTCAGCACGCAGAGCTTTTCAACATCTCCATATCTTAACTACAATGTGTTTAGTTATGATGACAAGCTCATCTCTCCACTGGAACGTCCGAAGGCGTGCTCCGTGGAGCCCATTGTATTCCGCGATCGTGCCACCAATTTAATCAAGTTTCGCTTCCACACCAAGGCGCACAGGCCGCCCAGTCAATTCACTCCGCGCGAGCTATGTGCCTTCATTTGCCATCCATTCGAGCCGCTTGTGCTCAGCATACAGAAATGCATGCACGTCTACTCCTACAAGCTACACATTTACAATCATGGGACAGTTGTGGAGCAGTTTTTCAACTGAATGTTATTTGAATATAATGTTATATAGTTTTATGAAAGGAAATGTGCACGTTAAATATTTTTTTACAAATCAGTTTTGTGTTCTGTTCAAAACAGAAATTATTAAAAATAACTGCTATTTTCTGAAATACAATACTTTCCTGTTACTGCTTTTATTACGAACATTTTTGCTGGAGTGTTTCCGTATCAATCGTAAATATCGATAATTTATAAGAGAATTATGCGCATCTCTGTTTGGCTATGTTAACAACAGTTATTTAAAATGTTAAGTTTTGAGACGCCAAAAACATATGTTTACTGTTTATTAAAAGACAGAAAATGAGCGAGAATCAGCAAACAGATAAAAACTGCAAACTTGATGCCAATGAAGTCTTAATAGAGGAAATCGACAGCAACGATGTGCCGGAGAACGAATTAGCGCAGTTTGAGCTGACGGAACCGCTGCGCATTGTGGAGATCATCGACTTGGAGGAAGACGATGATCCGGCGTCGCAGTCAAGCGAAGCCGCAAAGGCGGCCGCTGAGGAAGGCGCACTAATCAGACGTTATGTGCAGGGCGTTCAGTGCCTGGAGTTTCCCGATTTCTGCACCAAACTCGAACCGGGCGACGAGGAGGACGATGACGAGGCAGCACACTTGGCGGCCAAAAAGAGCAATGAACAGCCAGAGGCCTCCACGAGCGCCGCTGCAGCAGCTGCTAGGCAATTGACGCCAACGAAGGTGCAGTCGAAGAACACGTTTGGCGGCCGCGCAGGAGCCGGTGGTGGTGGTGGCGGCGGCGGCGGGGGTGGCGGTGGCGGTGGAAGTTTGGGTCGCCGCAGTCAACTGAGTGCCGCCTTGGTGGGTCTGATGGGCGAAGCGAATTTGTCGTTTGCATATGGACGCTTCGATATGGCCGAGCGCATTTGCATGGAGATCATACGGCAGAATCCTCTGGCCAGCGAGCCCTTCTACACGCTGGCCGAGATCTATGAGAATCGTGATGAGGTCAAGTTCTTGCATTTTTCCACAATAGCAGCGCATCTAAATCCTCAGGATCGTGACATGTGGATACGCATCTCGGATCTACTGGTGCAACAGGGGCATCTGGCACGCGCGCGCGTCTGCTACACGAAAGCCATCAAGGTGCTGCCCAAGGATTATCTGCTGCGGCTGCGCAAGGCACAGCTCTTGGAGCGCATGGGCGAGACAAATGCGGCCATGTTTACGTACTTGAAAATGCTGCCGTTGATGCCGCCGGGTGAGTGGAGCTTGTGCCTCACCACTGGCAAAAATGTGGCACGTTATTTCCATGTGCTTGAGAAGCACAGCATTGCACTTGAGGCTATGGAGGGCACGTACTGTGTGTGTGGCGCACGCTTCTCAGTCGAGGATCTCAACATCTATCTAGAGCTGCTCATACTCAACAAGCAATACACCAAAGTGCTGCGCTGTTTGCGGGAGCGCACCAAACTGGAGCTGGAGACGGAGCAGGAGAGCCTCGAGCTCATATACTTCTGTCACATACCCGACGACTATGTGCCCGAGCTGCGTGCCAAGCTCTGCGTCAGCCTTATACACATGCACGCACATCATTTGCTCGGTTATATTGTGCAGAATGTGCAGGAGCATATTACACCAACTGTGGATCGCCTGGAGCTGTATATGGACATTACCGAGGCGCTGATGCAGGAGCACAAATATGCCGAGGCGATTGCTCTAATGCGACCCATTACCGATGCCGACTCCTTTGATTGTCCGGCTTTCGTTTGGCTGCGTCAGGCCGAGTGCTTGCGTCAACTGAATCGCACCCAAGAGGCCATCCAGAGCTATGGACGTGTGGTGCAGCTGGCCCCGTATTGCTATGAGGCCAAGTTTACGCTGTCGGCACTGCTCAAGCAGCAGGGCAGGCCGGAGGAGGCGGTCAAGGCACTAGAGCAGTCTGGCGAACAGGAGGGACAGCCGCTGCATGCGCGCCTGCTCTACGAGCGCTGCATAATGCTGCAGCAGATTAACCGCATCGAGGAGTTTCTTGATGTTGGCTATGTGCTATTAGGCCGACACTCCATTAAGCTGAAGAATCGAGAGGAGATGATGGCCGCTGCCAATGGCGGCGGCGCCTATAACACCGAGGGCCTCAAGGCCATCATGCAAATGCGCAGCCTGTCCGATGTGGCGGGCGGCACTGAAACGGAGCAACAGGTGGGTAAAACGAGTACTCCACTTGAATTTATAATAAAATGAATTCTTGACAGGACACACTGAAGACTGCAGCGACGGCTAATGCTGAGGGCTCCGATCTGACCATTACGAACGAGTACGATCTGTTCCTGGAGCTGGTGCGCACTGCCCATGCGCATGGCATGCACAGTGCCATTGAGCGCATCTGCTTCGCCATGGTGACCACGAAGCGTTTCACCTACTATCACTACGAGATCGAGCGCCTAATGATTCTCGCCTGCTATTTTAATCACGACTGCGCCATCGGATTCTCGTATCTGCGCGAGCTGATTGCCAAGCAGCCGGAGCTCGTCAATCTGTGGAACATGCTGTCGCTGATGGTGCAGCAGGGCGATGAGGTGCGCTACTTTCGCTACGCACGACGTCTGCTTCAGCGTCATCCGAAAGTCACCCAGCCCATGCGCCTGTTTTTGGGCCATTACCACCTCAACTGTAGCTCGTACAAGTATGCCCTGAATGTTTATGTGCCCATACTGCGCGAGCAACCGCATCCGCTGGTCGCCCTCTCTATAGCCGTTGTCTTTAACCAGCTCGCGCTGCAGAAGAAGGTGTTGCGCAAATCGGCAGCTGTCGCCCAAGCGGTAGCATTTGCTCTACGCTATGCGGAACTGCGAGGCGGCGCCAGCTCTGATAAAGGCAACGATGTACCCGACTCCAGTGCTGCCCAGCAGGAGATCTACTACAACATTGGACGCATCTATCATCAGGCAAACATTCTGCATCTGGCTACCGATTATTATGAGCGCGCGTTGGCTGCACAGCATCCGCTTATAAAGAAGCACGAGTCGGTTTTAGGCCTGCAGCATGAGGTGGCCTTTAATCTTCATCTAATCTACCGAGCCAGCGGCAACAAGTGGAAGGCGCGGCAGTGTCTAATGCGTTATTGCGTTGTCTAGAGATTAGGGATAGGAATTTTATATGAAAATGGTTGAGAGTGCGCGACTAGACTATACCCTACATGCGCATATTCTAAGAATCTATCTTTACCAAGTAGACATTAGAGATTGGCATTGATAACCCTCTAAACTTTTGTTAATTTTTGTATATGTATAAGCCTCCTACTGCTTATTGCATAGAACCAGGAATTCAAACAATACGTTGGAAATCCTTCTGCTGGTTCCTTCTTCGTGGAGTACTAGAGGAGAGGCAGAGCTTTGCGTAGATATTTGCCTGTGCTGGACGTCAGGCTGTCCTTAAGGTAAATGGTCTTGCAATTCGGCAACCACAGCGACTTTATGTTGGCGATATCATCACTGTAATGGACGAATTTCGGTGGGAAGTTCGTCTTGTCTAACTGAGATGGATGAAGCTTGGGATTATTTGAATAAATATTTAATAAGGTTACAATTTTTAAATAAATACTATGTCTATGATTTTAAGAAAGTACAAATAATTAAATATTAGTTAATAAAAATGTCTGAAATCTTAGATAAACTAGTTTTTCGTTACTTTTTAAATATTTTGTTAAGCTCAGGTTCTGGTAAAGCAGAGTAATTGGCTTTGCTTATTTCCCAAATATATACATATGTTCTTAATATGTCTGCCTTTAAGCAATTAAGCTATTCTTTTTTAAATTTAAATAGGGTTTCATCATTTTGCTTTCCTGAAACCAAGAAATAAATAGCACTAAAATTTTGAAAACTGCATTTAACCAGCTTGGCGGAGCAGCATACTAATCTAGCTTAACACTGCCAATAGTAAGTGTAAAAGTATCGATAAAAAGTGTAGTATCGATAACATGAATATCGGTGTAGCCATTGTTTGGAAGTGGGAGAGAGGCGAAGTTTGTTTCGCGTAATTTTTCTGGTTTTCATGGCTGCAAAATGCAGAACTCCAAGGCCAAAATGGACGAATTTAAGACCAGGTTCATGGACATGCTGCACAAACAGGTGGGTGCAACAAGCGGCCAACTAACGGGCAGTAGCTAAAATACTTTCGCCCCGCAGACGAATCGACAAATGAAAATTCCAGCAATGGGATTTTCCGATTATTTCATACAGACCGTCACAACGGATGCGTTGCCCAGCACAACAGCAGCAGCAGCAGCGGTGGCGGCAGCAGAGAGTGCAGATGCGGATGCTAAAGATGCTGCAGCGGCCGCACAAAAATCGGATCAGGAAATTTTGGAGAGCATTGAAAAGTGCTACTACAGCGCCGACAGCAATCCGGAGCTATACGAGCTTAAGGTAGGCAATGGCACAATCCAATTTTTAGTAAAATCCAATTGTCCAAAACTCCACAGAAAGTCCTCGGCGCTGGCATTGACAACCAGTTAATTGAGACGACCATCGCTCAGCTGCGCACACAGCAAAAGGTGCTGACCAAGCAGGTGCTCCAGAACATATTGGAGCAACGCAATGCATGCAGTAGCGAGTTTCAGGCCATCAATGAGACCCAAAAGAAGCTAGAGGAATCGCTCTGGACATGTCAAAAGGCGCGCTCTTACTTGAATTACGCACGTACAAATTTAACAACGAACAGCTTAGAGATCCTAGCAAGCTATCGCAAGCGAGAAGTGCTCAAGGAAGTGCTAGACACACTTATGGCCATTAAAAAGTTGGTAAGTAAATGTTTGTGCTCTTTCCAAGATTTAGTAATACCGACCGTGCTCTGTTTGCCACCCATGAAGCGCACCACAGATGAGGAGCTGCAAAAGCTGCTGGCTGACCACAACTATTCTGCAGCTATAGCGCTGTTGTTGCAGTGCCAGAGCTCCGCTGCGGGATTCATGCAATATAATTGTGTGCAGTCGCTGCACAAAAAGCTGCAGGAGACCATGCTGTTGATGGAGTATCAGCTGGATACCGTGCTGAACGAAATGGTGCTAAATTTTGACATGCGCAAATATGCAAAGCTGCAGGAGGCTTATAAGCTAGCCAACAAGTCACTGATTGCCATGGATCAGTTGCACATCAACTACATCTCAGCGGTACACTCCACGGTGAATGCGGTGGTGCGTGGCTACAGTGAGCCCAATGCCGAGGAGCAACCTAAGCTGCTTTATGAGCAACTATGCGAGCAACTCAATTCAGATAAACTTATACCCTGTCTGATTAGCTTGTGCAAGACTTTCTGGACCATACTAGCGTCTTACTACCAGGTGGTCATGTGGCACAACAACTACAAGCTGTATGCACAGCAGGAGGAAACTGATGGCGAGTCACCCGATCTTTATATACAGCAAAAACTAAAGAAGGGCCAGTCTCGCATCTGGAACGATATACTGAACAAAGTTTGCCTGTTTCTGCAGAGTGCTAAGCTGACAACGCTCAAGTATGATCAGTTCATACAGGTACTGTCCATAGTGCAGCGCCTGAAAAAGGTGGGCGTAGAGTTTTGCGGTGAGCAGTCGGAGAAGCTAATTGCGACCATGCAGCAGCAGAGCGAGGAGTTTTTCAAACGCTATCACACTTGTTGCGTCGAGGAGATTTGCTTGTTCTTGGACAATGAGTCCTGGACACCGCTGGACTCGTTTTCGCACATATTGCAGTTGCCGGTAGTATAGCACTAATTGCCAAATGTTTTGCCATTATTAATAATCTTATGTGTTATGCAGGAATTCCGTTCGGTGCGACACACGCTACGTCGTCACAAATCCCCAACGACAGCGCTGCTAGCCTCGGCCAATAATTCGCCCATTAGCAATAACAACTGTGACGAGTTGGTCTCTGTGCACTCACAGGATGGCGGCGGCAGTTCCATTTATGGTTCCTATGGCTACTTTTTGCGTTTTTCGGAGAAGAGTTCGCCCTTTGATGGTGGCCTCGATGCTGCCATGCTAGAGGAGGACATACTGTCGGGCATTGTAGATGAGGCCTCTTGCTATTTTAGCGAAGAAAGCGACGACGAGCAAAAGAGTCTACAGAGCAAAGAGTTTGCCGATGATGCCTCCAAGTAAGTGTCTAATGGATGCGTTACATTTGCATGAAAAAAGTAATTTAAATTTGTTGCTTTTGCCAGTCAACTACTTGTTAACAACACAGCCTTAAATGTGCTGCGTTGTATTGGGCGCTACCTGCAAATGTGCAAGCTGCTGCACTGCATCTCACCCAGGATAGTATCGTGCATGCTGGAGCTGCTTGATTTTTATGCGTATGCAGTGCATGAGATATTCGGCAGGGATGCTGTAAGAAGGGCTTGTACATGATAGAACCCATTTAATGCTATCAAATTTTGCAGCTGGTGGCCACTGATAATCTCTATACCCCACGTCTGGAGCAGCGTCTGCGCGCAGTGGAGACCAATGTGCTTACTCAGATAAAAGTTTGGCCACTGAACTTTTCATCATTGGTAATAGCGCAAAATAATGGGTATAAGTTCACAATTAAAGTTTATTTAATTTGCAGACCAACAATGAGCTGGCTAATCCGGACACGCTGTACGGTCTAACACAACGCATTGTGGCCGTTGAGGCTGGACGTAGTATGTTTCAGCAATTTAATGTGCTTCAGCATTACTTGAATCATCTATTACCTGCTGCCGAGCGGTCAATTTTAACTAATTATCTCGAATATGGTGAATTTATGGCTGATCTGGCCAAACCAGTTTACACATGCGTCACATCTCGCGTCATTGATCTGACGGGCATACTGGCGCAAATGGCGAAGGTCAAGTGGGATGTGAATCATGTAACGCATCAGCATAGCAGCTACAGTGATGTCTTAAACCGCGTAAGTACAAAAGATTAAACTATAACAATATCAATCATAATCTAAGCAGCTCCAAAATATTTTGTTTTTATAGAACATACAGAGCTTTGCCATGTGCCTGGAGGAAATAGCGAAGGAGGTGCCGATACCTGGCAAACATGTGTGGAACTCAATGGCGCATGTGGCCACACATTTGTTGGTAGAGGGGTTAGTCAGCTATTACATCATTCCCATGAAATTCGATCACATTTATTTTTATTTTTAGCTTCTCGAATGTAAAGAAATGTTCCGCTGGTGGACGTGCACTAATGCAATTGGATTTTGCTAATTTTATGTCGTTTCTTGAATTAATCTCGAATCAAAAGTATCCGCAACATCGCGCTTACGTGGATGTCTTCATCAAGTCCTATTACTTCTCGCCGGAACAGTTCGAAAACTGGATTGAACAGCAACGACAGGGCGGTGAATATTCTGCAAAACAATTGACGAATCTGATACAATGCATTTGTGTCAGCGATAAGCGCACACGACAGAGGCTGCTGCAGCTGCTGGAGGGCGTGGCATCAAGTGTTACGCCCACCACAACGCCGCACAAGAATAACTATAGCTCAGGCTCGAATCTGAGCAATGTTATTTAAATTAATATTTTCTCTCTCATTTTATATTTCATATTTATTTTGTTATAGTCGTAACCATTTGCTAACTATTTGGTCGAACCTTTGTTAGTAGCTGAATTTTGTCGATGTTCTATATCTAATTGTATTTAGATTATACATTCCGTTTAGTGCAAATTGATTAACATTAAGTGTAAGTTGATTGTATTTAGTAACATAAGCGAGATCCATGATGTACTTCGTTTCGAATCTGTGAATAACGTGAAATCTCTATTTAAATGCTACACGCTCTCTACTTTTAGACATGGCACAAATTTATTATTCTTAATTTTTTGTAATTGGGTTTATCATTCACATGACTTAAGTACCTAGAGAAAGCATATACACATACATATATATCGAAAAATAGAGATAAACAAAACTAATATATTTATTTTTATACCCGATTGTAATATTTATTTGCGAAACGGACAAATAATTGTAATTAACCGCGATTAAACATATACTTAAAAACCGCAATTTACCCGATTTGTGGGTTACTAACATACACTTTAACACCTAGTGGTATACGGATCTGTAATTACTTAAAAACAACTAATAAATAATACATATTTTGAGATATGCATATTAAAAGGACGTATGCTTTTTAAACCGTATAACATTTGGGGTTGGTCTTTGATTTCATAATGAGCTTATATATTGAAAGAAGATCTGTACCCTGGGCGAAAGTACGCAAAAAATATATTTTACATTTTAAATTGCTGAAAATTATTTCTGAATCATTTAGGCTTTAGAGGTTGGAGAAACTTATTTTTATTATTATTAAAATAGAACACAGTAGTATACAACCAACCTAACTTTTCTAAATAAGCACTAGTTTTTCAATCCTACTTAGTAAGATTAGTGTATAAAGTTCAGATGAATATTATTATAACTTAAATTTTATTATTTTTATTAAGTATCAAATCAAATAATGTTGTATATGGCCTACAAAAAAGTTACATGGTATATTAATTTATCGAACCATGATACTATATAAAGCAGCTTAGGTTTATTATTGGGTATTTGAACGATTTTTATCAGATTCTAAGAACATGTAAGCCTATGAATCAGCTTTATTTATAAGGAAGTTTCACTATTGTAGCATTATGCTACGCCTAAAGGCGTTCCAATTTTGGGAAATGCCGCCTTTGCCAGTGACTCAGCAATTCAAAAACTAACGCGTCTATTAAAATGCCGGAAGTCGTTAGATACTCCACATAAAACATTTCGGCATGTGGAGATTATATACTCTTTTATTGATGTGCAGCTCGCCAAGCTGGGCAGCAAAGGATTTCATGGAGGAGGTGCTGCGGGAGTCGAAGCCATCATTGCTCATGATACGCTACGATTACTGCCCGGAGGTCTGGCTGCAGCGACTGCTTGTGGAGCCTCAACTGGCGCCAGTGGTACTGCAATCGCTTAGCAGTACCACGCCTCCAAGCAATGATTTCTCGCGTCTGCTGCATTTGATCTGTTTGCCCAGCGTTGACTATCCGGCGGAACAACTGGCCGCGCTGCTGGAAACTGTGCGTGGCGCAAGGAGCATCTTTTATATATCAGCTACGGCTTCCCATGCCTCGTCTTACCATGTGCTACACTCCCTGCTAAGGCAGTGCTATAAATTGAAAGTTTTGCCTGTAATCGCTTTGATGGCTGTGGATGCTGGCCAATTCTATTATCGCTATAGTCCATATCCGCGTTTTGAGCTGGAGCAACTTGCGCTAGATCAGCGTCCCTTCTTTGTGGCACACTTAAGCAACATGCAGCGTCAGCCGTTGATCTTATTGCCCGACCAGAAGCATCCGCGCACCATCATTTACACGGACTGGCGCACTGGGTCACAGGTGCTGGCCGGCTCCGTGGGCCGCTTTATGCGCACCTTGGCCTGGAAGCTGAATGCCACCATACAGTTTCCCATGCAGATCAAGCCAGGTGTGGGTCTGCATTATAAGGAGCTGCTGACGCTGGTCGAACAGTACCAAGTGGATGTGCCAGCCACTGTGGTGCAGCTGATGCGGCCGGAACAGCTCCCGCTTATTAGCTTCCCCTTTGAGCTGAGTCATATATGCTTGATGATACCACGGGCACAGCAGCTGCCCATCAAGGAGGTCTACCTTATCCTGGGCAGTGTTTACCACCTGCTCATTGCCCTGGCTATGGTCTATAGCTTTGGGCTGTTGCTTAGTCTGCACAGGTGTCTGACTGGGCAAGCCACAAGCTTGGTGGATTTTCTCCTCAACGATGTCGCGCTGCGTGGAGTGCTGGGTCAATCCTTTGGACATACTTTGCATACTAGCATTTATGTCAGCTTCATCTTTCTGATGCTAGCTGTGCTTGGACTCAATGTCAGCTCAATTCATGAAGCTGCGCTCGGCACACTTCTGACACATCCACCCAAATACTTTCAGCCACGCCGCTTTGCGGATGTGCAACGCGCACAGCTGCCACTGGTCGTGGATGGCGAGGATTTGGAAAATAGTTACGATCTCAGTGAACTGGATCTGCGTCTGCTGCTCATGAATAGCAGCGACTTCCACAGCCATAGGGACAAAATGAACCAGAGCCATGTCTACTTCGCCTCTCGACTCAAATGGACGCTGTTGAGCGAACAGCAAAAGTATTTTCCACGCGATGTTTTTCTGTACTCCATGGATGCCTGTATTCGAACACTCACGCACATGGTATTTCAGCTACCCAAGAGTACCTGGTTCCTGGAGCCTATTACTAGACTGATTATGGATGCACGGGATTTTGGACTGTTTCAGCATTGGGTCGATATGCATTTCTATGACATGGCCGCGGCGGGCTTGTTATCCTTCACGGATCCGCTCCAGCGTGAGCCCCAACGGCTTGAGGAGGCGCTCCGTTTGGAGGATCTTCAGTGGATTTGGATTGCCTATGGAGCACTTTTATTGCTTGCTACATTAGTCTTAGCGCTGGAAATCCTTTTAGAGCGGGTGCAGCAACGGCTTGGACGGTCTTAAAGCTAAACAAAAAACCTAGCAAATTTCTTATTATTATATTATAAAGCACCAGTTGAATATACTCAGTTATCCTAATCCTAATGAGTAATCCGGGTTCCTTTTCGATTGCTGCCCGCTGTTATCCCTCCGAGGATTCCTTCAAGCACGGAAGCACTGGTCCCTAAAGGTTTGAGCTCATTTTTGCTCATTACGAAGGTTTAGCTCGAGCGCAAAGATTGATATGAATCGGTAGTTAGCTACTATAAAGTTATGGTCGTTAAAATTCGTTTATTGTTTATTGATTACAAGTTGTTGACAACATAACTAGTGGGATTGAACACGATCTATGGGGGTAGTTGTGAGTATTTGATTAGTGAGGGAAGTGCAGAGAGCTAAAGTATGTTATTGTATTAGATCAGAGTCTGAGTTCGTTGGGCTTAGACCACATTGGTGTGCTCGTCACGATGGAAGATCTTGACGTCGAAGAACTTGAAGTTGTCCACGTCAAAGTAGTAGTCGTGCTTCACCGGGCGATTGAATGGGAAGCCGAAGGGCAGGGCATCAACATAGCGTGAGCCATGTCCAATGCCGCAGCTGACAATGGGATCGTAGCCAGTATACTGCGCGACAGTGGGCTCATGGTATGAGTATACCATGTAGAAGAACTGATAGACCTGACCGCCCTTCTTGCCCTTAGGCAGCATCATGCGATTGGGCACACCGCAGTGTGTCTCGGACTGATCCAGCTTGAATTTGTAGTCACTGTTGGTAGCATCCATCAGCTTCTGGTAGAGCTCGAAGTAGGTGGTGCGATCGTTAACCCAGAAGCTGAAGTCGCCGCTAGCGCGCTTTATGTGGTTGACGCCAGCCTCCAGCTGTACCTTGAAGTGCTCCAGCTCGAAGAAGTTCTGATAGTTGTGCTCCAATGGAATTACATGTCCGAACTCATCGTATTTGGGTCCAATGAATACCTTGACCACTGCGGTCTGTCCCTTGTCTGCGGTGATGTCCAGTGTGAACTCGAAGGGTTTGTGGTTGAGACGATGCTGGCGGGCCTTGATCACAAAGCTGCTGCCATTGTAGAAGGAGTTGCGGCCAAATTTATAGTGGACATCGGTGGTGGGCTCCACGTAGTGCTCAACGTTCACGGCATTACTAATGTCGGCATCAAAGTATTCGAAGTAGGTGGTGAGGCTCTCAGGCATGTGAACGGCATCGATCTTGACACCCTCGAAGCCGTAGTCGACCTTGGTGTATTCTGGGAAGGTTTCCATCAGATGCCAGTAGTGGGTCAGCAGGTTCTTGTACACCTCGAAGAACAGAGGATCGCGGATGGAGGTGTCGTAGTGCATGAAAGTGCCGGGGTAGGTTTCGTGGTATTCGTTATAGGGATATCCCTCGTTCACAATGTAGCGGTAGGTTTTGTCCAAGCTGCCATAGAACTGCTTGTCAACGCTGTCCACATTGCCCTGGATAATGTTGCCTAGCATGTTGACGACATTGACATCGTGCTTGGTGTTCGCGTGGATCCAGTCCATAATGCGGTGTGTGTAGAGCTCAGCGTCCTTCACATACTCCAAATTCTCGGGCGTGTAGAAGTTGTAATAGTTGGTACGGCTGGGATAGGGCACGCCGTTGTAGTCACGCAGACCGCTGTAGAAGCCAGAGTGGACGGGTTCGTACATGTTGAAGGTAGGCACCTCACCCAAATCGTTGGACAGACGCTCCAGATAGTAGCGAGCCAGCAGCTGCCAGTGCACGTAGAGATAGAGCTCACCGCGGCGATCCTTGTTTAGCATATGTACCTCATCACCCTTGGTCCAGAAGGGATAGTCCAGGTTGAAGTAATAGTAGAAGCTGTTGAAGCCGATATCCTCCAGGAAATAGGCCAGACCGTGCTCGTAGTTCATATCACCATGGACGTTCGTGTAGTTGGACTTGAGCACTACGTTGTAAACGTTGTTCAGCTGCTTGACGTGGTGGAAACCGTGCATCTTGTAGTGCTCGGCCATCTCCAGAGTTTGGCCATCGAAGAAGCTCCATGGATGAATCTCGTACTGAGCTGGGAACACAATACCCTGCATATCGTCGCGGAACAGGCTGGCAACGGTGAAGGCATAGACGAAGAGCTGTTTGTTCACATGCTGGCGGGCCCAGAAGACCACATGCTGGAAGGTCTCCCAGTTCTTGGCGAAGTAGAAGAGACGTACCAGGCCAACGGCATACTCCTCATGGAGATCGTACATAACCGTCCACACCTGATCATCATGGATGGGATGATGCTGCCAGAGCTCAAAGAAGTGCTGCACTTTCTCCACATGATGATAGTCGCTGACATGCTCCCAGGGCTTGTACTCGTAGAAGCTGGTATCAAACTTGGTAACGAACACATCGTCCTGGTAGATGTGCTGCAGCATTTCGAACACGAACTTCTGCTTTACCAGAAAATCCTTGTCGGCCACCTTAAACTCAATGTGCTTGCCATGGCCACCAAGTGCCAGCAGAGCTAGCGTCAGAACAACAACCGCCGTGATCGACTTCATCGTAATCATGGCGATACACTGGCTGCAGCCTCCATTTATACCTGAACCTGAAGCAGGCGAACGCTGCGCTCCAGCTGCGAGATATGCAGCCAGATGGGGCCATCGTCCGATTGCTGATATTGCCTTGACATTATCAGAGATCCGTTCCACCTTAATGGCTAATGCTGCAGCTAGCATTGATAAGGGCTCCATGCACCTGTCAGATCTAAGTGCGGATTGGGGGGCCCGACTTCCAGCAAAATCGATCGATTCATTTGTTGCGACTATACTAAGCAGCTGTTACAACGCCTGGTAACACCTGCTGATTGGACACTATTAGGCACTGCACCTTGATTGCACTCTGAGCCGCTGTTATTCTTCTTCTTATTATTTTTTCTTTGCCACATCGCCTGAGGGTCGGCCAGCGGTCAGCCTAATAAAAATTCGATGATGCGCCGCTTATCAAGCGACGTTGCCAGCGGGACTAGCTAAGTCTAAAAATATGCATCTACTAATACTAATCATATCAAGTGAAATGCCAAAACAACAAGAGTAGACAACAAAGAACAATGGAACTGCGAAGGGTAGCGGGTGCGCTGCTCTTAAGAGCAGAGTCGACAAAGTCATCTAAACATCCGAAGCAGGTTTATACATAGTCGCTATTAGTGATATAGAATCCATGCAATTGCACAAGTCCTCAATATTTAAACCAAAGAGCTAAAAAGTTTTAGATAAAACTAGCCTGAATAAAATATACTTTCATTATATCTTCATTTCGTGGTAATTATTTGTACTCTATTCTTTTCCATTTTATTCATTCGCTGGAAGCGGTGTCAACCAATGGAATTATAATTATGATAAAAGATATATTTTTCAACATTGTTTTATTCTATTTCATTTTATGATTAACAATTTTCATATTTTTATACTCGGAGTATTAAAATTATTTTGTAGAAACGATGATAGGAATTGTGCAATTTCCCACTATGATACAAATTCTATTTTTCTTATATAATATGTAGGATTTGCAGGAATCCCTTAAATATCCGACTTTATTGAAGTTTATTTTTTTTAAACATCTTGAAGCATGCCCAAAGCTTTATTCATTGCTTACACAATTATAATAAATATTATATGAAATAATTAGGTTTCTTTACTATTTAACTTTTTCAAAAATAACTCTTCACTCTTTCATTTTATTAGATTTATCTCCATCTTATACCAACTGCTCTCGTATTGTTCCCTTTATTAAGCGTGTTGCGAGCTCAAAGGCAAATATTAAGAGGGAAAAACAAACCATGTATATGTATAGCAGCCAAAGGTAGTATAGATCTATCCAGCGTAAATAACAGTTGCATACGAAATTGTTGTAGGGCAATTCCTCCATTTTGCCAATACTAAGTAGTTTATAGTAGTTCCGACGATACCAGAATGAGTACAGGCCACTGGCTTGGGTATGCAGAATATAACGATTGAGGGCCTGTTGGTAAATGGAGTCGTTGGACAGCGGTATAGCATAGGGAACCAGCGAAAGTAACGTGAAATCCTTGGAAAGGCGAAAAGGTGCCCGATGTTGTCTGGCGAACTTGCGTTCTATGAAGGGCCACAGCGTTTGGGTAACTGGATAGGCATATGAGGAATTTGGCAGACAGCGCATGGCCTGAAACACAGAGCTGTTCACCAGCTCATGGACGTCCCAATTAGTGCTTAGAACGTGATTGCCAACGGCATTGAGCATGGCAGGCTTGTCAAGGTCTGTCAAGAGAACCTTGAGGCCTACCCTGCGCATGTCCTGGTAGCTGCGTATCGGTGGTTTTGTAAGGGGATGCACCAAGGAAGTCTCCAGCTGAGTAATATAGGTATTGTAGGATAGGAAGCTGCACAACAGGATCAGCATGTATGTGATTTTAAGCCTCAGGCTGGGTCGTCTTGGCATCGATATTGTCTGATAAAGCATGGCCCTAAGCACGGGATCAGTCAATGCCCCCAAACACCAAGCACTGGGCGCCATGCCCAATTCCAGGCGATTAACATTATGCAGCAGCAGGGCCAACAGGCACATGAAACACATCGCGAACACGACTTGTATACTGCTTCCACCACCAAAGACCAGCAATGCCCGGTCAATCTCTGATTCGAGGGGCACCATTAGCTGCCATTTTGATATTTCCATCACATGACTGTAGTTCCGGAAATCGGGATCCAGTGCAATATTCGAAATGCACGCCGGTATATCCACTGTGCCGGCTTGTATCAGGCGCGTCACTTTTTTCAATTTAACGATCTCGTTGTCCCGAGGCACCTGGTCCCACGAAATCTTGAGAGTTGCATTTAAAGTTTTGGCAAAGTTTTCAATAAATGACGCCAGGTAGCCGGACAGCTGATAATGTCCTTGTGCATCCGTGTAAGCAACAGAACGCGGAAACACGTTGTCTGGCATGGTGACTATGGGATATCCACCCATATCCTTCAATTGTGGCTCAAAGTAGCGCTCCACTTGCCAAATGCTTCGCTTGACAATTGTAAATCGAGGAAAGGCCCGATAGTTGTAAATATGCCCGGGACTCCAAGTAGCTAAAGCCAGGACATTGAGCATACGGTTCTCCAAGCAATTCCTAAACAAAGCCTGAACATCGATTCTATAGTTAATCAAAAATATGGTTGCCGTTTCTCGCATTCTCATCAGATTTGTATAAAGCGCATTTAATACTGTCGAATTTTGATATTCCACACAAACCAATGCTAGAAACCGTCTATTAAATTGGCTTTGAAGATCATACACTTGATTTGCATTTAAGTTAATTATCGGTGTTTCAGAAATCGCTTTCAAATCAATCCAACAATCCGTGGAAGTTTGTAATAATAGTATAGACTCATAGCCAAGCTCCACTTTTAGTTCGTGTAATACCCTGCTCGGAAGCTCCACTTCTGCCTTGGCTAAGCAAGCCAATATTAAGAAACAAAGTTGAACGTTTTGCAACATTTTGTTACCAAAGTCTGTTACTAAGAAGAATTGTTTTGCAAATGGCGAAAATCATAACCAATTAGCCCCTTTTATTGGAATTCCAACCAGGTATCTGCGCAGCGGGCAGCTTAATTTAATTTAATGACAAATGTTTATCACAACAATTAATCAATGCGTCAGCAACGCTTTACATTGCAGGAGCTATAAGTTTTTACCATTATGTGGTAATTAATTTTCAATAGCTGTACATACAAACACAGATATTACTAAAAGCTTAACATCATTGGGGCATCAAAATTCAAGTTTGAACGCAAATTAATGCTATATGAGCTTAATAATTGTTTTGCTTAGCAATGCCCATACAAAAATCTGCAGTATGTAAAAAAGCTCCCACTGCAAATCGTGTTCCAACTGAATTACCGTTACACATTTTCATACTCTGCCATTTAAAATAAAAAGCAATCGTTTACCAACACTCGATAATTTTCGATAAATCAACAATACGTATCGCAGCGATTTATTTGCACAACTAAGACCAGTGCTGCCATTTGAAGTATTATGGCGCTTTTGAAATGTGGTCACACTTGTGCATCCACAGGCAAAGTAAAATAAAAAAGCGTGGAAGAAAGAGCGACCAAACCGCTTGCGAATAACAAACATATTTAAAAGAATCTGAGTGACGACATTGCACGAAAATACGGCGAATAGAGCGTCGCACCAAAAACGTGAATTTAACTTAAATGGTAATGGCGCACCGGATATGCTAAACAAATGGGGTGTTGAATTAGTATAGAACAATAATTTGAAATTTGTTGCTGTAGTTGTGTAATATTTTGAAAAGTGCGAGCAGCAGAAAACAACAACAAACACAATGAAAAATCGCCTGATATCGCAAAATTGCGTGCGTATGAGTGTGGTTGCGTGAGTGTGTGATATCTCTATTGCGCTGTTCGAACTGTTCGAAAAGAGCGAGTGAGCGTTGACAGTTACATTTATGTATTTATTTAATTTTTGACATTAGTAAAGCGTGTATTTAATTTTCGGCATGATTATTTACAAATCCTATTGTACTCTTTTGCTTCTACTTTTAGGCGTAAAGTGAGAAACCAACGTATTTCTCATGCCCATCTAACGACAACAACAAATCCAAAGATACACAGAGTAGACAGTGATTCGGAAATTCAAAATTATATACATTGGAGAACTTTGGAACTGGATTGGCAGCCATACCCCACCAACAGCACCCCCCCCTACAAACGAAAATAGGCAAACAACATGAATTTACTGCTTCATCCCAAAGGATCAATGCATCTGAAATCGCATTACATGTTTCAGAATTTCTACAAGCGCTGTAAGTCTGTAATCATGCAAAAAAAAAGCCAAAATCAGAACGCATAAAAACTTTCCATTGATTTTACCCCATATATTCGCGGCATGACTGTGTGTGCGTGTGTGTGTGTATGAGCTCAGATATCTGTATATATGCTTATGTGTGTGTGTGCGATGTGTTTTTTGTTCGTGGCTTCTTTTATCGCTGCTTTTGTTATGACTGCATATTCGTGCACAGCTGATTCAATGTTTGCGTGCACCTGGGACAATTAAATTTCCCTGTTGCGCTTGTTTTGGTACTTTTGTACAGCGTGGAAAGGAAATTCCCCGAATCAAGTAAATATTGAGTTTGTCAATCGGTTTGATAATGCGAAAACTTTTATTTATATATATTTGCCGGTGCATGAATGCAGTAAATATACCGGCTAATTCGTTTGTGTTGTTATCGTTGTCGCATATTTAATATATAATATTCTTTTACTTCCTATCACGTCTTGGTTAAAAAGCGTCACATGAGACTGCTTATCACCTTGCTAAATAGCTAGATTCACCAAAAAGGTAAATATATAAACCGACTAACTTATGCAGGTACCATGCGATAAGGCTGTACCAGAGTTAGTAGAAAGGTACCGATTTAGTTAGGAAAGGTTTCAATATTGCCAGATTTCTGCACATTTGCACCACACTGAATGTACGATAATTTTTCGTTGTTTGCAAAACAATGTTC